TTTCTTGGTCCACAAGCGTGAGTGACTCGTAATTGCGCGCTTTCGTTTAAGTACTATGCGAAGTCCCACGGGGATAGCACGTGCCGATAAAATTGACTGTTTATCTTATTCTACATGCCGCAGCAAAATACATTTTTGCATTTAAAGACAGATTTTCTATCAAAATGAATCAAATATGGCGACTTCAAGTTTTTTTCACGTGTGGCATATTAACAAGCCATTCGGTTGCAGAGCCGTTGAAAAAATTGACTTTCCAAGTGAAAAATGGATATTTCTTCACAAAAGAAATACAAAATAAAACAATGCAATTAGGGCATACTAAGGTGTTTTTCCACTTTACTCTACTGATCAAATCGCGGCGGCCTTGGTCTGTGGGACGGGGAGAGCATGAGCAATTTTTTACGGCAAGAGAAGAGAGAGGAAATCATTTTTGGATTTTTATGATGTTTATTTTGATATGTTTGGTGCACGTTTTTATTAAACTACTTGATGTGACTGATTGAGTGATGCAAAAGGCTTGTAATAATTATAAATGGTTGAGAATACAGCTATACTGCACAACGATAATTTACCGAGTAAAACATTTTTTTCGTATTTTGTGCGAGTGCTCCATGCGAGTATATTTCATTTAAAAACTAAAACACATTATTATCAAAAATCAAGCAAAGTTGAAATGATTGATATACGTGGGTCCCGTGATCAGACGATCCTGATCATGATTGGTTAAAACTTTTCACGTGTTAATTGATCACGTGATGCGATGGTATTTATGGTGAATTGTGTTTCCTGGTGAAGATTTGTACTTTCTTGATCGTGTACTTCATCCCTTCCTCATCTGCAAAATTAGGTATAGGCCTCATTCTAATATTTAGGAAATCCTCCAACTCGCTTAAAGGACCCTAAAAAAATTAAATACTTTCATTACGAAATGAATATGATAACATGACAAAACAAATAAACCATTAAATGGGACATCAAATGCTGATACAGAATGTTTCGGGGAGGGCAAGGAGGGGCTGTAATTACAGTCAACCAAGGTCAACACCCTCTATATAATAAAAAAAGTAATATAAAAAAGTTAAAAAGGCAGTAAAGTGCAAAATGAGGGAGAGGGAGAGATGAAAATCCGCCCAACTAACTCTCTCTTTGACCTCCCATGGGGGTATATTTTTTAATAACAAGAAAGACCATTTGCAAGGATTAATAACACTGCCTTAAGGGAACGAAAAGAGAGACTGGTTGAAGAGGAGAAAGAAGCAAACAACATATTCAACCAATAAATGAGATTCGTGAGATAACTGTTGAGCTGAATGAAACCCAACAATCTGCAATATCAATGCAGCGATAACATATTGCAGAAAAGCAGTTGTAGTTTTTATGTCAGCTAAAATAGTCCTAGTCTATATCTGCATTTTATCAGGACAACATATTTGTAAAGGATATGCAGTAACCTTTTATTTCACTATTAAGATCAAGGATCATCGTACTAAGTGTGGGTTATTAGATCTTTTGAATCACTGTGACCTTTGATTATTTCAAGATTATGAAAAGACCTACGAGGTCGTCTTTTATGTAGTTAACGCCCACTTAAGTTTTGTTAATAGAGCGTTTAGCTCTCAATCAGTCCTAGAACTAGTTTATATCACTACAATTTAACATATTCCATGATCTAGTATTGTTTTATGTGTTATTATTGTATCATTGAATTCGTAAAGTATTGATTGCTATTTTTATAAGGCCATGCTAGTTACATATTTTTATCTGATTAGAGATTTGGACACAATTGTAATTCTAGTTTACGTTCGTCTCAACATCGATCAAGTCTTCGAATAAACCGTTTCAGTTAAATTGTGACAAGTGCCTAGTCTTATTCCTAGACCGATTCYAGTTGGCGCGGCCAGTAAAAATACATGTTAACCGCTACAGTATTATTAAAACGTGCAAGAATATTGGAAATTCATCAATTAAAAACAATCCTCACCGAATTTGGAGCTGCACCTCTGGAAAGATCAGGGTCTGTCTGTATAGCCGACTGCAAAATTGCACCATAGCTCACTGGTTTGGTGCTTGCATACAGTACCAATGTGTCTGAGATCGTTTGCGGTTCCTCTTTAGCAGGATCTGGCTCCGCCATGGCTCTTGCGCAGCCGTCAGGTATAAAAAGAGGCGCGATATCTTCAGCAGTATCATTTCGCCGAAGAAGGGTCGTGCCTCCCTTAAAACAACGAAACAAACAAAGACTAATCAATCAAAATATTGACGACCGACTTTCYGTGTCAAATGGTGGCTGCCTTGTAGTTCAAACTAGACCAGTCCAGCTTAGGTAATCTTAGTCAACCTTTCATCGTTACTTGCCTACCTTTTTCCTAGGATAAATGGCTTTAATTTCCCCATCACATTGATACAGGATGACACATATGTGAATCTCAGTGTCGTTTTTGTTTATAACTTGGTATAGGAACGAATCACCAGAGCCAGGCTTGATTCCTTTGCCGTCCGGTTCATGAGCTTTGAAAATGACTTCTCGATCTTTGACTAAAATAAAAAATAAAAAAACCAAGAAAACAACGTGGTTTGTCAAATTTGAATTAGAAACTGAAGATATGTGCCTGTTAGTGCTAATATAGCAATATTTCGCCTGATGTAAAGATGGTAAGACCAAGGGATCCCGAGGAAGCCTTGAAGTCCTTTCCTGGTCTTCTTTCCGCTCCAGAACGCGCGCGGTGTTAAAGAGAGTAAAGTATATTTTGCATGGAGCAAAACTAGCCAATCATATTAATATTTGTACACGTGGATTTTGAATTTGCGAATTTCGCCTCAGTAGTCAAACACAAAAGAATCAAGACGAGGCGCCGTGCGTAAATTCACGATTGCCTGAGCTTTAACACGGCGCCTCGTCTTGACTCCTTTGTCTGTGACTAGTGAGGTAAAATTCACAAGTCGCTCGGCTATTAGCCGATCTGTATTCATTATAATTACCAAAATGTCATTTTCTACTGGGTGATTGATTTGCGACCAGGCCTGCATATGAATTCGCCAAGTTTGTAAGCCAGTGAGCCCGTGCATTTTGTTAAGCGGTCATATTTGAAAGTGTAAATAAAGGAAAGGGAAAACCCGCAGCTCTCCTTTCACTCAGATAAACAGTACAAGTCGTGTTAAATTTATTTACATAACTAAACAAAATGATTATAGAATTAAACCTTTAAGAATTGAATGCTCATATGAAACATTTTCCACCTTAAATACACACGTGTTTTTCAGATGGGAATTTAGTCGAACTTTTTTCACGATGGAATTTTGTTTTGAGTCGTTTCGACATAAACAGTCGCTATCAAGACATTACACGAAAAATCCCAGCAGTCACCTTCTAGCTCTCATTTAAGGTCAAAGCTAGTAAATGTGTAACCGACCTGTTACATAACGTCAACCCGTTGTATCGTCGAGCATGCTTCAGGTGGCTTATTGCCGAAAATGCGACAAAGGATGAACTACGACAGTTGTTTGTACCAAAAATAACAACGCTTTAACTCTATTGGAATACGTGGAGCTAAGCTGCTCTAGCTCTTCCAGTGATGTTGTATATACCTCAAAKCTTAGAGGAAAYAAGAGCTAAGAAAAAGGATTTGCAATGTTTCCTCCCAAGATACTTCGGACTTGAACGTCGCTTCAACGACTTTCTGAAGTCTTCGTGAAGTCGGCCATTACTTCGCATGCAATGGAGAACCCGCGTAGAAAACAGACCAATTATTTTTATCAGGGAGGGGAGTCTCTTGGCATTAAAGAAAAAATTATTTGTTATTTCATTTTTAAGATAAAATTCTATTTCTATAACAATAAATATTTGATTGACATTTAAAAGCTATTTTATAAAGATTTCAATTTCTCTTCGCGTTTTAGCTTTGATTATTCGGATGGAATAAAATGACAGGCAGCCTACTCCACTGGGTCGAATTTTGCTGTGCAAATTCCTCMCKTCGGGGGGTTATGTTTACAACATAAGCTTGTCAGCTTTGCGCTGATTGGCTAGTCGCATTTTCTCAAATCACCCAGTATGTTGGGGAAAAAACTTGAGTGAGAAAGAATAAAGTGAACATAGAACACAAATGACAAGAGATCTTAATCTTTCTCGGATCCCAAAGCAAGAAAAGGCGGAAATATAAAATGTGAAGGAGCCTAAAAATCAAGGGTATTACCTGTAGTAATCTCAACATTGTTCCTATTCTGCAGTTCCTTAGCGATCACACTACTTCTCGTCTTGTTGTTGTATTTCACGTTTTCTACCTTAAACACCTTTAGATTCACATTTTTGAGCAGGCTTGCATCGTCCTTTGGCGGCTGAGCCTTGTCAAATATTGTCTCGTATCTTATATATCGACATAGGTTTTTAGCCATAATGCTTTCACGGTCGACACTGATCGGTGGTACGAGGATTCTATTACTTCGACGAGCGACCCAGCATGATTTACTAGAAAATGTTTAACAACAAGAGTGTAAATATCAGTCTATATAAAGCGATTAGCACAGCAGTATATAAAATAAGCGCGATATATTTCGAAAAGTTATTCCACGATTAAATCGAGTCGTACATGATCCGACAGCCAACGAGGTTCGCTGTCGAAACAAAATCACTGTATAATGAGAAAATACACCGAATTCTAAAGAGCAAAATATTTTTTTCGAAAATTCTAGACAAACCGGCAATCTATCAAACAACTTTTTGAGCAGAAAAAACAATGGATTTCGAAAAAGCTATTAATGTTCTTTTTTTAGTGAATTTGGTGTCTTCCTTGGTATGTTTACATTGTTTGTGTTGGATTCCTTCTCCTTTGCAAGTCGACCAGACGAAGCCATGCCAAACATACACATTACATATAATCATAGTATATTCTATTACCGCAACCTTAACATCTATTTCACCCCGACCTGCTCCCAGTCTGGCCTTGTAGCTCAGCTGGTAGAGCATCGGTGTACAAATCCGAAGGTCGTGGGTTCGAATCCCAGCGAGGTCGGAAATTAATTTTTCCGAATTTATTCCTAAGGGACTTCTCCCGGAATTGCCTCCTTCTAAGCACTATAACTTTCTTTCATTTCTATATCGTGTTTATCATAGTGCCATGCGGTCTTCATATTCATATCTTTACATTATTCTATTACCGCAACCTTAACATCTATTTCACCCCGACCTGCTCCCAGTCTGGCCTTGTAGCTCAGCTGGTAGAGCATCGGTGTACAAATCCGAAGGTCGTGGGTTCGAATCCCAGCGAGGTCGGAAATTAATTTTTCCGAATTTATTCCTAAGGGACTTCTCCCGGAATTGCCTCCTTCTAAGCACTATAACTTTCTTTCATTTCTATATCATGTTTATCATAGTGCCATGCGGTCTTCATATTCATATCTTTACATTATTCTATTACCGCAACCTTAACATCTATTTCACCCCGACCTGCTCCCAGTCTGGCCTTGTAGCTCAGCTGGTAGAGCATCGGTGTACAAATCCGAAGGTCGTGGGTTCGAATCCCAGCGAGGTCGGAAATTAATTTTTCCGAATTTATTCCTAAGGGACTTCTCCCGGAATTGCCTCCTTCTAAGCACTATAACTTTCTTTCATTTCTATATCGTGTTTATCATAGTGCCATGCGGTCTTCATATTCATATCTTTACATTATTCTATTACCGCAACCTTAACATCTATTTCACCCCGACCTGCTCCCAGTCTGGCCTTGTAGCTCAGCTGGTAGAGCATCGGTGTACAAATCCGAAGGTCGTGGGTTCGAATCCCAGCGAGGTCGGAAATTAATTTTTCCGAATTTATTCCTAAGGGACTTCTCCCGGAATTGCCTCCTTCTAAGCACTATAACTTTCTTTCATTTCTATATCATGTTTATCATAGTGCCATGCGGTCTTCATATTCATATCTTTACATTATTCTATTACCGCAACCTTAACATCTATTTCACCCCGACCTGCTCCCAGTCTGGCCTTGTAGCTCAGCTGGTAGAGCATCGGTGTACAAATCCGAAGGTCGTGGGTTCGAATCCCAGCGAGGTCGGAAATTAATTTTTCCGAATTTATTCCTAAGGGACTTCTCCCGGAATTGCCTCCTTCTAAGCACTATAACTTTCTTTCATTTCTATATCGTGTTTATCATAGTGCCATGCGGTCTTCATATTCATATCTTTACATTATTCTATTACCGCAACCTTAACATCTATTTCACCCCGACCTGCTCCCAGTCTGGCCTTGTAGCTCAGCTGGTAGAGCATCGGTGTACAAATCCGAAGGTCGTGGGTTCGAATCCCAGCGAGGTCGGAAATTAATTTTTCCGAATTTATTCCTAAGGGACTTCTCCCGGAATTGCCTCCTTCTAAGCACTATAACTTTCTTTCATTTCTATATCATGTTTATCATAGTGCCATGCGGTCTTCATATTCATATCTTTACATTATTCTATTACCGCAACCTTAACATCTATTTCACCCCGACCTGCTCCCAGTCTGGCCTTGTAGCTCAGCTGGTAGAGCATCGGTGTACAAATCCGAAGGTCGTGGGTTCGAATCCCAGCGAGGTCGGAAATTAATTTTTCCGAATTTATTCCTAAGGGACTTCTCCCGGAATTGCCTCCTTCTAAGCACTATAACTTTCTTTCATTTCTATATCGTGTTTATCATAGTGCCATGCGGTCTTCATATTCATATCTTTACATTATTCTATTACCGCAACCTTAACATCTATTTCACCCCGACCTGCTCCCAGTCTGGCCTTGTAGCTCAGCTGGTAGAGCATCGGTGTACAAATCCGAAGGTCGTGGGTTCGAATCCCAGCGAGGTCGGAAATTAATTTTTCCGAATTTATTCCTAAGGGACTTCTCCCGGAATTGCCTCCTTCTAAGCACTATAACTTTCTTTCATTTCTATATCATGTTTATCATAGTGCCATGCGGTCTTCATATTCATATCTTTACATTATTCTATTACCGCAACCTTAACATCTATTTCACCCCGACCTGCTCCCAGTCTGGCCTTGTAGCTCAGCTGGTAGAGCATCGGTGTACAAATCCGAAGGTCGTGGGTTCGAATCCCAGCGAGGTCGGAAATTAATTTTTCCGAATTTATTCCTAAGGGACTTCTCCCGGAATTGCCTCCTTCTAAGCACTATAACTTTCTTTCATTTCTATATCGTGTTTATCATAGTGCCATGCGGTCTTCATATTCATATCTTTACATTATTCTATTACCGCAACCTTAACATCTATTTCACCCCGACCTGCTCCCAGTCTGGCCTTGTAGCTCAGCTGGTAGAGCATCGGTGTACAAATCCGAAGGTCGTGGGTTCGAATCCCAGCGAGGTCGGAAATTAATTTTTCCGAATTTATTCCTAAGGGACTTCTCCCGGAATTGCCTCCTTCTAAGCACTATAACTTTCTTTCATTTCTATATCATGTTTATCATAGTGCCATGCGGTCTTCATATTCATATCTTTACATTATTCTATTACCGCAACCTTAACATCTATTTCACCCCGACCTGCTCCCAGTCTGGCCTTGTAGCTCAGCTGGTAGAGCATCGGTGTACAAATCCGAAGGTCGTGGGTTCGAATCCCAGCGAGGTCGGAAATTAATTTTTCCGAATTTATTCCTAAGGGACTTCTCCCGGAATTGCCTCCTTCTAAGCACTATAACTTTCTTTCATTTCTATATCGTGTTTATCATAGTGCCATGCGGTCTTCATATTCATATCTTTACATTATTCTATTACCGCAACCTTAACATCTATTTCACCCCGACCTGCTCCCAGTCTGGCCTTGTAGCTCAGCTGGTAGAGCATCGGTGTACAAATCCGAAGGTCGTGGGTTCGAATCCCAGCGAGGTCGGAAATTAATTTTTCCGAATTTATTCCTAAGGGACTTCTCCCGGAATTGCCTCCTTCTAAGCACTATAACTTTCTTTCATTTCTATATCATGTTTATCATAGTGCCATGCGGTCTTCATATTCATATCTTTACATTATTCTATTACCGCAACCTTAACATCTATTTCACCCCGACCTGCTCCCAGTCTGGCCTTGTAGCTCAGCTGGTAGAGCATCGGTGTACAAATCCGAAGGTCGTGGGTTCGAATCCCAGCGAGGTCGGAAATTAATTTTTCCGAATTTATTCCTAAGGGACTTCTCCCGGAATTGCCTCCTTCTAAGCACTATAACTTTCTTTCATTTCTATATCGTGTTTATCATAGTGCCATGCGGTCTTCATATTCATATCTTTACATTATTCTATTACCGCAACCTTAACATCTATTTCACCCCGACCTGCTCCCAGTCTGGCCTTGTAGCTCAGCTGGTAGAGCATCGGTGTACAAATCCGAAGGTCGTGGGTTCGAATCCCAGCGAGGTCGGAAATTAATTTTTCCGAATTTATTCCTAAGGGACTTCTCCCGGAATTGCCTCCTTCTAAGCACTATAACTTTCTTTCATTTCTATATCATGTTTATCATAGTGCCATGCGGTCTTCATATTCATATCTTTACATTATTCTATTACCGCAACCTTAACATCTATTTCACCCCGACCTGCTCCCAGTCTGGCCTTGTAGCTCAGCTGGTAGAGCATCGGTGTACAAATCCGAAGGTCGTGGGTTCGAATCCCAGCGAGGTCGGAAATTAATTTTTCCGAATTTATTCCTAAGGGACTTCTCCCGGAATTGCCTCCTTCTAAGCACTATAACTTTCTTTCATTTCTATATCGTGTTTATCATAGTGCCATGCGGTCTTCATATTCATATCTTTACATTATTCTATTACCGCAACCTTAACATCTATTTCACCCCGACCTGCTCCCAGTCTGGCCTTGTAGCTCAGCTGGTAGAGCATCGGTGTACAAATCCGAAGGTCGTGGGTTCGAATCCCAGCGAGGTCGGAAATTAATTTTTCCGAATTTATTCCTAAGGGACTTCTCCCGGAATTGCCTCCTTCTAAGCACTATAACTTTCTTTCATTTCTATATCATGTTTATCATAGTGCCATGCGGTCTTCATATTCATATCTTTACATTATTCTATTACCGCAACCTTAACATCTATTTCACCCCGACCTGCTCCCAGTCTGGCCTTGTAGCTCAGCTGGTAGAGCATCGGTGTACAAATCCGAAGGTCGTGGGTTCGAATCCCAGCGAGGTCGGAAATTAATTTTTCCGAATTTATTCCTAAGGGACTTCTCCCGGAATTGCCTCCTTCTAAGCACTATAACTTTCTTTCATTTCTATATCGTGTTTATCATAGTGCCATGCGGTCTTCATATTCATATCTTTACATTATTCTATTACCGCAACCTTAACATCTATTTCACCCCGACCTGCTCCCAGTCTGGCCTTGTAGCTCAGCTGGTAGAGCATCGGTGTACAAATCCGAAGGTCGTGGGTTCGAATCCCAGCGAGGTCGGAAATTAATTTTTCCGAATTTATTCCTAAGGGACTTCTCCCGGAATTGCCTCCTTCTAAGCACTATAACTTTCTTTCATTTCTATATCATGTTTATCATAGTGCCATGCGGTCTTCATATTCATATCTTTACATTATTCNGCCTCCATTGCTATTACTGGCAATCGCTGGAAGCGATTAATAGCATGTTTTGTAGTGGTATTTGGGTCATAAATACAACGCGTGATTTCAAAATTGTCAAACAAAATTTTACGAGCGAAGCGAAATATCACAAGTGGTATTTATCCCAAATTCCACGTACAAAACATGCTATTATTATAAGTAATAGCATGGCTCTGAGGGAGATTAGGGATTAAATGTCCCCGAAGCCGAGGGCAGATAAGTTGAAGTCCCGACGGCCGCAGGCCGGAGGGACTTTTACTTATCTGCCCGAGGCTGAGGGACATTTAATCCCTAATCTCCCGAGGAAGCCATGCTATTACTTTGTAATACCATGATTTCCGAGGAAAAAATTGAAGTTGAACTTGAGCGAATTTGAATTCTTGTTTTTTTGTATGCTCCAATGTTTTCAATTCATGCATGAATTGGAATATGACATGAAAAGAAAGGATACGCACTGTTCTAAGAGTATCACTCGCCGAACAACAGTACAAAATGATATTGATAATCCGACCATTGTTACTGATTTCCCACAACGAACTTTGTTTGAAATTGCTTTTCAGTTCTATTCAATGCTGAAGTTAACGAACCTTAACTTCAACCGCGAAAAGTTGTTTTTGTATTTGCAAGTATAATGCCAAGAAGCTTATCAACTATTATCAAACATTGAAATTCGTCAAGTGCACATGCTCAGCGGTACGAAGTAGAGACTCGGAACCAGAGCTACTCGGTGAATTTGTCCCAAAAATCATCCCACATTTCAGTGTGAATGAGAAGATAACCAGACCGTTCATTGCAGAGGTAAAAAGAAGACAGCTGTAGGGACATTCAGTTGTCCCTGCTGGGAAGCAAAGGTTTCCTTTGCCTTCCGTTCCTCATGAATAACATGAGGGACGATTAGTCTAATCGTCCCTCATGTTATTATGCATGAGGGACGATTACTAGTAATCGTCCCTCATGCTATTCATGAGGGAGGGATGTTCGCTTGTAAACATCCCTCGGAAGACAAAAGAATCCGAGGTGATCATGGTATTACTATAGATAATATTCTATGTAAAAGTTAAAAATCCAAAGCGCGCGCTAAAGAAAATTGAGAAAAGTGACCGTGAGAAATTGAGAAAAGTGATCGTGACCGTTGAGAACGCTGATTCAAAATAATAGTTTTCAACTCCGCGCGCGCAAGGATAAAAGAGGGTCCAGTTCTTCTGGACTAGGATATCGGCTGATAATGTCCGAGGATGAAAAATGGTCCGAAAAATGAACATTTGGCAGAGAAGCGAAGCTTCGATCACCTATTTTGTAGTATTTATATTTCACGCATTTAGTGCGAGCACACTACTTATGAAATAATTTATTATACCGTAGATAAAATTATTATAGTATATTTTTATTGCATGTAATTCAGTTGGTGGAATGCCAGGTGATATATCTTAAAAACTGTTAGAATAAATGAAAAAAGAAAAAAGAAGAGGATGGAAATGCAATGACTTAAAGATGGTGTTATTAGAAAGATAAATGCAAGAAAGAGAATAAAACCGAATTACAATTTGTCACCTTTTAATGGTCTCACAGGTAATGCCGATCGGGTCTGGGTCATTAACCGTTACTGTTGGAGGATATGCGACTACAGTAAACATATCACTTTTATTTAGCTCTAAGATCAGAGGCTCTTTAATTGTCATATCCAAAGGTGCCGGAGAGAAATACACGCTACGTTTGACACGCGCTGCTGCTTGAAGATATGCAAGACAACCACACTGAAAAAGAACGCAATTTTGCTTAGTCTACACGTACATCAGTCACAAGGCTACGTATGGAGTACTTACAGTGATCGTACGGTCAAGGTTACGTATGGAGTACTTACAGTGATCGTACGGTGAAGGCTACGTATGGAGTACTTACAGTGATCGTACGGTGAGGGCTACGTATGGAGTACTTACAGTGATCGTACGGTGAGGGCTACGTATGGAGTACTTACAGTGATCGTACGGTGAGGGCTACGTATGGAGTACTTACAGTGATCGTACGGTGAGGGCTACGTATGGAGTACTTACAGTGATCGTACGGTGAGGGCTACGTATGGAGTACTTACAGTGATCGTACGGTGAGGGCTACGTATGGAGTACTTACAGTGATCGTACGGTGAGGGCTACGTATGGAGTACTTACAGTGATCGTACGGTGAGGGCTACGTATGGAGTACTTACAGTGATCGTACGGTGAGGGCTACGTATGGAGTACTTACAGTGATCGTACGGTGAGGGCTACGTATGGAGTACTTACAGTGATCGTACGGTGAGGGCTACGTATGGAGTACTTACAGTGATCGTACGGTGAGGGCTACGTATGGAGTACTTACAGTGATCGTACGGTGAGGGCTACGTATGGAGTACTTACAGTGATCGTACGGTGAGGGCTACGTATGGAGTACTTACAGTGATCGTACGGTGAGGGCTACGTATGGAGTACTTACAGTGATCGTACGGTGAGGGCTACGTATGGAGTACTTACAGTGATCGTACGGTGAGGGCTACGTATGGAGTACTTACAGTGATCGTACGGTGAGGGCTACGTATGGAGTACTTACAGTGATCGTACGGTGAGGGCTACGTATGGAGTACTTACAGTGATCGTACGGTGAGGGCTACGTATGGAGTACTTACAGTGATCGTACGGTGAGGG